TCCCTCCTTTTCCTCTTCCCAAGCCTCCGGGGAGGGTGGGCAGACCGTCCTCCTTCTCCCAGGGCATGTCCTCCATCGCGCCCTCCTCAGAAGCCTGCGTTTGGACTGCTAGGCCTGGAGGAGAAGGAGGACAGGAGGCGTCCCCCATTTCTCTCTTTCTCCTGGGGAAAGCCTTGGGCTGCGCCTGGTCCTCTTCCTGGGCACCGATCTGCTCAGCCTGCATCCGCAGCAAGGCAAGGCAAGGCAAGGCAAGGCAGAGGGATGGAGGGCGGCACGCATCCTGATGGGAAGGATGATGGAGGGATGGGAGGGAGTCCAAGGGCTCCCAGGGCTTACCTACCCCCACTAGGCACGGCTGCCTGGCTGGCTGGCTGGCTGTCCTCCTGCGGGAAGGAGGATGGATGCTCCGCTCGGAGGCTTCTTCTCTCCTCCCTCCTCCTTGGAAGAAGAAAGATGCCGAACTGTCAACAGGCTCCAGCTCCCCAAGCCCAGGCGGTTGCGCAGCATCACTTGCAAGGCTGAGCACTCTGGGATTGGTAGTTCCAAAGAGAAGGAGAGAAAGGGGGGGGGACTCCTTTAGGGATGCTGGGCATCCTCCTCCCTTTTGGTCCTCAGGGGATGGCCTTGGGGTGGCCAAGGGAAACCCAATCATGCAGCACCTGGGTCTCCAAGGAAAAGGTCCTGTTTCCCCAGGTGGGAAGCCCAGGGGAGCAAGCTTGCAACAAGTATATATTAAGTCATGATAAGTCATGACTTATAAATAATTATATATATTATTTTAAATTTTGATTTTAAAATAATATATATTAGATTTTATTTTGTAACTGTTTAATACTGTTTTAAGGGTGGGAGGAAAATATTTTGTAGGGTATTTTACGTTGTTAACCGCCCAGATTGGGAAACCATTGAGCGGTATACAAATAAATTATTATTATTATTATTATTATTATTATTATTATTATGTAAGTGGCTTGCGCCTTTCGGTTGGCCAAGAAAAGGTATCCCTGTTTGCATTTGCTAAATGGCCCACCACAGCTCCCCCTGCATGTTTTCTGTACTGTGAGATA